ATATTCTATAATATTCTACAATACTTTCATAATACCTATAATATGTAGTACAACGTGCACGGCTCAGGCGAGTCCAACTACCCCTCGCCTTTGGTGCTCTAAAAAGCTGATTTCGTTGAATAGTCAGTTACAGATTATCGGTAGTGGAGGAAAAATAAAAATTGGTTTGTGCTCCTTGATCTTATGGAAACACGTATCATTTTTTACTTTCTCTTTACTGCTAATATTAACCAGCTCGCAATTAAAAGGCAGCGCTCAAAAGGAGGTCGGACAATGTTGAAGCGTCACTGGGAGATCGGACAACGTTCAAGCGTCACTGGGACGACGTTCGACGTTCATAGGACCCATCGAATTATTTAACAAAGTAATGAGTTTGTTTAGAAGTAAAACAGAACACAGTACATTTCAAAATAAATTTATGGAACGAAATTCTAATTTTACAAAAAGGGACTTGTACTGCAGGGGTTGCTTTGACAGGAAAAGAGACTCATGTAAAGGAGGATTGCGTGGAGTATAGTTTCACTCTCAATCACTGTGAGAAAATGTTGTATTAGGTAAAGGAACATTTTCCATGGAAGGTGTCGTACATTTACAATTTAAGGTGGAACACGAATGGTGCAATCTACGCTATCCATCACCCATCATTCATCACCCATCACCTGCGATTTCGTGTATTTACGCGTACAACTCAGGTTGTGGTTCAGACTTAGGATGTGTGTGAACAATAATAAGTATGACTATACACATTATGATTGATGTAAAAACACGAAATTTCAAGTGACGGGTGATGGCTACCGTAGATTGCTCCATTTGAGATCCACCTTAAAAATTGAAAATTTACCAGCACTGTGTATTGGTTTTAAATCCATTGACAAGCAAGATCACGATATTTTACAAGTACAATGTACTTTGCCCATGGTAATCTTTTTTAAAGTGGAAAACCAGAAGCAGAAATATATGTTTTGAATTAAAGAACAATTTGTCGGGGAACAGCAGAAATCGCAGTAAAGAGGTTGGCGATGGCGTTGAGTCACTGCTCACTGTGGTGTCGCTGGTGTACCACCCCCAGCCCGCTCGTTCTCATCGGAGGCACCCGGACTCAAATACAGCGGGTGCATCCTCAGAGGACGCGCGGGACGTGGGATCCATTTCTCTTCTTCGTTGACAGCGCAAATTCACACAATCATCACGAAAAAACACAACACAAACTGTAGTCGGATTATACCTCGTCGTGCATCTGGCGGGAGAGGTCCTCCAGCTGGTGCTGGGCGTTCATGAGGCTCTTGCGTTCCACGTGGTCGTGTGGTGTGTGCGCGAGCAGGTCCGTCAGCGTGGTCACGTACCGCGGTACCTGCCCATGACGAAAATATAATAGAGCTGTTGGTATGAAGCAGGCCTCAACACTATTAAAACAAGTTCTGGTGTACCAAATAAATACATTGGCTTCATAAAAATACTCTGCTAGTTCTCCACTAGCATGCATTATGCACTGTTGAAAGCTTACAGTGATTTTCTGACTGTAAGCTACAGTGAATCTCACGGTAAGCTACGGTGCTGGAGGCTTTCACTGTAGCTTACGGTGAAAATTACTGTAAGCTTTTAACAGTGTGGTGTAAGATAGAGCGGACCCCTTCGAAATAGTTTTGATAGTTTTCTTTATGCACCACATTTATTTCATAGTGCAGGAACAGTTCATAATTGCGAAAACTAATACAGCCTAACGCGTAATGTAACAGTTTATAGAAATTAATCAATGCAAAATTCCAACGTCGAGGTCGAGGGCCCGGGTTAAGGTTCGCTCACGTGGTCCACTCCCCCAGCAGTGGGGCTATAATAGAGACCTCGGCCAGCGGCGCGGCGACGAAGGAGAGAACGTGAAGCAGCACAACAGACGACGGCGACGGCTGCGTTGCGGACTGCGGAGGACGCTACGACACACGGCCTCATCTCTTCCAAGGCTCTGAATCGCTCGGAACGCAATTGTGGGTAGGGCTCGGGGTAGGTTTTGCAGCGGGGGAAAGCGTAGACCAGCTCGCAACAACAAAATAGCTCGCGCAGTATTGTGTGGCAGTGGGAGGGGGCTCGGACATTCCTCGACAATAACACACAAGCTAATAAACGAAGCACCCACCCTTGGTCGTGATGGTGGGGCTAACCTTTGAGAGGCGAAAACACGCGTGGGTTTCACTCGTGAGATGAAAACAAAACGTAACGTAACATCGGCTAAAGACGCACCATGATACTTTTCGTTCCATTAGCGTTCTGCTCCAGAGATGCCGCGCGCACCGCAAATCAGACTGTTCCTCTTTTCGGATCAGCTCCGAACATTTCCACTTTTCGCCCTTCTTTCTCTCCGCTGCGGATCCTTATCCCGAAAAGCTTTTCTCGTGGGTGCGTCTCGCCACAGCACGCTTAAAGTCCCCACTCCGCTTCCCCGCCGTGACCCAACAAGTCCGTAGAAGCCCTGTGAGTCATGCCCAATTCGACTCGTACCCTGCACAACTAAAGAGTAAATGTGCTACCCACAGTAGTTGTAAGGTGTTCACGTTCCGAGTGCATACTCACAAGTCTCTCAGGCCCTTGGAAAGATTTGAACAAAATATACCCTCTCAATTCCTCTCAAAGATGAGGAAATGCCGGGGGCGAAAATAGTGTCTGTGAAACTGTGAAATAACCGTAATGGCAGGAGAAATACCATAAAATAGCCCATACGCTACGAACCCAAGTGATTTCCTTTTCGGTAAATATTTACGTGAATGGAATCATTGAACCAAGTAAAAGTACAGTTAAAGGCAGTGAGAAAGCTCTTACTAGTTCTTCAGACTGCATTGCCGCACCGATAGAGGTTTAGGAATCACTCATTTTCGAAGTCAAATGGAATAGAATCTTGATTTTTTTTCCCTTGAATCGAAGTGGCTTCTTTCGGAATCGAAATCGAACCGAATCGGGTGAAAGCTGTTTTCATTCGAATCAGAACTGTTCACACACCTTTTCACACTGAGAGGTGATCTCCGAGGCAGCCACAGCGTAAACAGCACTACCTCGTAATTACTTTTTCTCCAGCGAGCCTTTCCGGGCCGCACTGGGCATTGGGTATGATAATATGATATATGACTCGAACGCCTCGCCCACTGTAGAGCAGTAGAGCGGTTCAAATCTCTAACCCACCCTTCCTTTGTAGCTTAAATAATGAAAAACGCAACGCGGGCAATTCTGTCAGCTGAAACACAGCGGCCCGCGTCGACGGTGCTTGAAGTTGAAAGTCCACCCCCACTGAAAATTCAGCAGCTCGACCTACCTGGTGCATGGGGTAGGTGAGGAAGGTGGCGAGCGAGCGGCCCTGGCATGTGGGCTTCTCTTCCATCCGGTGCACGAGAGCCGCGAATGTCGGGCTCTTCATGCACTCTGTCAGCACCTGAACGCTGTAGTGGTGGTTCCGAACGTACTCCTGATAAATGCTCAGCATTGGCAGAAGCATATCGAACAGGTCGCCTGAAAGACACAAAGCACGCCGATTTAAAAACAATAATAAGAACGTTTTCTTTTAAAAAAACAGTAGACCATCTTTGTTGAACAGAATAACACAACATTGTCCGCTTCCAGGGTGGCCAGTACGAGAGAGGCCACAGGTTGCCTTTCCTCTCAATCTCGTCCACTGCTGGTTCACCCACCCTTCCTAGTTCTTGAATGACCCCCCCTTCTTTTCCCTTCCCTAGTTCTCTCCCCCCCCCCCTTCTCTCTCTCTCTTTCTGTCTCTTTCTCTATCATGCAGGTGGACGGGCCCTGCTCGCAGAGGGGCCGCATCTCTCCGAGACTGCTACTATATACCTAGGGAAAGAGGACATTCCAGGAGCAGCAACTGTATATTGGCACCAATAAGATCAAATCAAACTTGAATATCGTCATATTTCCTGTTTCGAGGTGAATGGCGACCTCACGGTGGCACTAAATGCGATGTCTTCTTTTCCCTCCGAAAAACACGAATGGGGCAATGGGGCCGTCATCGTGATAGGACGCGCTTTATGAGCGACCCCTAAGAGGATTATGCTCCGTACGGAGCCAGCCTCTGCCGGGCCGCACAAAGGAGGCGTGGGGGTGGTTGGAGTAGTGGGGCCAGGGGGTGGCCCTCGCAACCAAGGACACCCCATCCCGACGCGTCCTTGACACAGACAGCGCCAGCGCCTCGCGTCCACGTGCTTGCTGCCCGTCTTCCGCTCTCGCTACATTTCCTTTCTCTCCCCCTCACCTCACCCCTCCTTCTCTCCTTCCCCATATCTCTCTCTCGTCTTCCACCCCTCTTTCCCTTTTCTCGATCGCTCTCCATCACATGCCCTCCACATGTTTTCTGCCCCTCGCCATACTATACAGCTCGCTTTATCCATCCCTAGCGCATCCGCCCATAAAGGACCACGTCAATCTCTTTCTCCTTCTCACCCCCCCCCTCTCTCTCCTGTGGTCCACAACACACTACTAGGACCTTTTTACTTTCTGGGTGGTTTCTTTTCGTTTCCTCTCTCGTAGTGTTGTCGTAAATACAAAGTTGTTGCAGCGCTAAGCACCAACCTGGACTACTTACCCCAGACATTGAAATCATTGGGAACCAAGACAGTAATAGTTTGTTTCACAAACAATTTTTTTCCGTTGCCTAAACTGCAAAAATCTCTTGGCTGCTAGCTTTTAAAATTGACATACAGTGAAAAATCGCTCGCAGGCTTACAAACACATTTTCACTGGTTAAAAAAGAAACTCTGAATAGAACAATCTGTAATCAGTACTGTAGCCTTATATTGCTTGTAGCTTTATATTGATTGCAGATTTCTGTAGTTGAATTTCAAACTTTTCGGGCGCAGGGCAAGAACATTGGAGAAACTGCTCATAAACTGCAGTTTAACTAAATTGCGACTGGGAATGACGAAATAACTACTGTCTTAACTACAGTTTGCCTTCAGATCCTCCCATCCGTCGGCTCTGGAAGGCTGCGACCAAATTTCTTCGTGACTTCAATGGGATAAACCTGTTGTAAAATGCAGAACACGACTGCTTAACCATCTTCACGCGTTTTTGTTCAATTAGCTAAACTTTGTAAGCTTTCCTGACCGACAACTCTTCTCTTCCTACTTCCAGACACGGTGAAAGCGCCTGTGAAACGAGCGTTAGGCAACATGCTTTGCAGAGATGTCAGCCGGCGGCCTACCCACTGATCGTTAGGCGCTAAGCTACACAGCTCAAGAGTAGCCTAACATGTGATTTCCTTAGGAAGGACGAGGTAGATTAGCTCGGATTGTTCACAGAGGAAGGTGGGAACTTACCGAGGACGAGGGTTGGCCAAGACTCCATACGTGATGTGAGACCCTTCAGAAAGATTTGGTGGAGGAAGAGGACAGTCTCCGAGTTCAGGAAGATGGAGTTGACGTCTTCGTGCGAACAGGGTGGTTTCTTTGAAGATGCGGCCATCTTGAAAGGCCGGAGAAAGCACGACACTAGCACCTCCATCTGCTCCATGTACTCCTCCTCCGCTTCCACCATACGAAACACAAGGCTGCAAAACAAGAACAAATGCTCTACCAACCCAATTCGTTTTTGTTTTTGTTTTCATTTTTAAGTTCCACAGTGTTATTTACAAGCACGATTGAAGATTCATTTCCTCAAAATAAAAATACACAGCAAGCTCTGTGGCCTCTTAGAGTAGAAAAAAATAAGCCAACAAGAACCAGTCGGCGGTAAAACTCATTTACTGAATCCCCACCCTCACTGAAAGTCATTGTGAGGTGGTCCTTGTTCGCTCATGTTTATTTCGAATATAATCACCGCGCAGTTCTTATGTAATTCGTGCTATCAAAACCTGCAAGTATTCAAAAAGTCTTCTAGTATTTTCCTATAAATTTGGTGAAGTTTACCTGTTTCTTTTCCGCATGCTTTCGGCATGCGGGGACTTGATGTACTGCTCGACGATCTGTTTCCAGCGCCGGCGGCACAACCATCCACGGAAGAAGCTCTGCACCTTTTTGATCTTGCGCAGCTCGAGTGTCTCGCCTGTGTCACTGTCCGCGGGGACGCCCGTGCCGTCTACGACGGTTGTTGGTTGCGTTGTAGGCGCGCCACAGACGTCCGGTCGTAGCTCCTTTTTCAGGGCACACAGCTGCAAGTAGAAAGTATCAGCAAGTCAGACAAATCCTAGAACGTGTTTATTTTATATTGGAGTTAGAATTGATTTGACAACAATGTATAATTGACACACCCTTCAGCTAAGGACGCTTTACGTAATAGTGTTCGCCATATCTCAGAAGACGCTATAACTCTGTAACCCGCCTAGCTGACAACTCAAACGAGTTCAATGGTTTGGTTGGATCCATAAATTCCACAGGACAAGCCATTTTAAAATTTAGGCAAGGAACCAGACTCTTATTCGGGCCATTTTAAAGAAATTTTGTGTAAATGGCAGCTAAAAGTAGACCCACCCTGAAATTTTCATTTGGGTATCCCAATTCCTTTTCAAGTTATCGTGGTGCGTCAGTGGAGTGAGGGGTTTCGCCATAAGCAAATTAAAGCAATTCGTCGTTTCAATGTTTGCAGCAGTCGAGATCACGCGGTTGCTGGGGCTTGCTGGTGGTCCGTGATTCCATCTGCCTCTGTCTCGGTTCCGGCCTACGCCACAGCAAAACACGCGTGGAATGAACAGGATGATGTATCACCAGCCTGGGTCAGCGAAGGAAAGGGACAGGCGGGATGACATCGTGAGTAATGGTTCGAGTATACACGACCTGAGGCACAAGAAACACGCTGTCCCCTCTTCCTGCTAATCTCTTCTAGATTATCTCATTACTGTTAAATAACTACAATTGTTGATTCATTACAATGAACAAACTCTAACGGCTTTGGAAAACATATTAAACGTTTCTTTTCCAGGTAACACTAGAAGAGCAGGTCAGACGCAGCGGTGGCCGTGAATGTGCTTTGGGGAAGAGGGTTTCCTCTAGAGCGCGTGGACGGGTGCCTGGTGGGAAGAGAAATGGATACGCCGCGAGGTATGATGTTACACGTCATGCCTGGGGTATACGCTGCTTGCTTTCCGTGTTTGACGTAGTGTCAAAGGCAAACTTCTGAAGGTTTTACTTCAAACTCAACAGTGTACTTGGAAAATGCGAGATAGTGAGATCAGGCACAAGTTTACGAGAACATAGGTAGAACTTAGCAATAATATTCTTACTTCGTTGGATGCCTTGAATACTATTTACAGAAATTTGTAAAATTATTATCCATTAATGAAGGTGTCTGTCGGAGAAATTCGATCGAGGGGGCAACCACTCACGTCATCCCGTGTACAGATGAGGGTGTAATCCTTATGTAATCCTTATGTATTCCGTGTAAGAGTTGACCACATTCTAGAACATTGTCACCAAATTTCACCTTATTGTCCAAATTTAATAGTTTTAGAGCAAGAAATTTAACTAAATTCACTTGTAATCCCTCAAAATTCACATGTCATCCAGATAATCACGAAATCCTTTGTACATTCTAAATCGAAGTGGTGGCCGCCTCGAATTCGATGGGGCTAATTAAAGCAAAATTACTATGTGCCATGAATTAAAAGCAATTATTAGTTCACTGATAGTGTGCAGCCTTGGCGTACGCCATGCAAGACCTCAAATTAGAATATATGTGATTTGCAGAGGGTGGTCCCGCACACGCCGTACAACTAAATGGGTCGTGTTCTGAAGACCGGGAATTTTCATTTGTGTTGAAATTTGAGCGAGCGAGGGAGGTTTGGGGGAGGGGGTAGGTGGCACACAGTATGCGTCTCTGCCAGCGCTGTTAGTAATGCACAGCTGCTCCCTCCCCTCTTACTCGTCCCTCACCCCAGCGAAGACATTTGCATGGAAATCAATCGACGCCCGAACATCGGCGACTCCGGGTATCGAATTTGTTCACGTCTGAGTGTGCGCAAGGCATAGAGGCAAGTGTGCGCCATACTCCTAGCAACAATTTTATCCGACTGAAAAATTAGGTCAAAGGGAAATATAATCCCTCGTGTGACGGCGCTGGGGGCTGCAGGACTGCGGTGGATCAGGGTTGGGAAAAAGATGGGGGGGGGGGGGGGGGGGGGGGGGGGGCATATCGGTTATTCGAACCAGGTTCGGGTTGCGTACTTTAATATATTTTATTTGGCACATAATTTATGGTACAGTAAGCCAGCGTGGCGTCGCGGCGTCCCCGCAGGCGGCGAAATAATGAAGAGAGAAAAGGTCCGCATGCGCACAGCGGCAGCCTCGGCGGCGGCAGCTGGCAGTAGGTACGCCATTTTACATTAAAATTACCACAGAGCCAAGCTGTCAATATGCATTAGAGATACCAGGCGATAAAACACTGCTCCGACCTTGCGAGTAGTCGCAACCATTTTTAAAGCAGAACAAAAAATAGGATAGGTGACGATGTGAGACAGGAGTAGCGGAAGGTTTACTTCAGCCGACTTCAGCAAACAGTGTGTCCTGAACTTTAAATGTGATGGGACAACTCTGTCCCCAAAAGGCAACGTTTTCGTGCACATTTCAAGGAAACTTGGCCTATTGAGGAACAAAACTGTCCCTAAAAGTTTAGAGTTTAGAGTGTAGCGAGGCTGTTGCAAGGTAGATCATGAAAAACCACAACAGCAGTTCAACAACGTTACTTTTCAAAACCCGAGGATTGCTCTTCAGGGAGCGGTTTGTACGCGCGGGATGCATTGGACCTGGACCCATAGCCCGTCCCTCTGATACCTTCTGCTTATCCGAATATGGAAAAACCTTCGCCTTTCGCAAGGGCAGGCGGCGGGGCCTTCCGGGCTGGGCTGGGGTTGGCCGACCCTGGCCGGTCCACGCTACGCATTGGTGTGGAAATGAAGTATAGTCTGTGCGCGTGCCTGCAGCGCGTGGCGTAGAATTCCACACCCCTCCCCATGGGGTCAGAGCTGGGCCCGGCCCTCCTCGCCAGCCCAATATGATAATGCTCACTACACACATGTGGGTCAGGGAGCGACCCCCCCCCCCCTCGCCTCAACCCACTCTCAACACAGTAAAATAAAAAAAATACAATTATTCCACTCTTAGTTCCTTACGAAGAGCGGTCTTCATATTACGAAGATTTGGGTGTGTAACGTACAAAGGATATGGAACCACCATATTACAAACGGATTTTCTTCGCATTATTAACAAGACCACCAGTTTCTGAACAGCCACTTGCTCTTTGTATCACAAAATTGAGCCCTTCGTACTACAAAAGATTTATTTGTATTACAAAGGTTCCAAAGCCTTTGAACGTTACGAAGAGCAGTTCTTTGTACGAAACTTACAGTGTCCAGAATATGTTTTGAAGTTTTAGAAACGATAATTGCTACAGACCTCAGCTCGTAGTTTCTTGATCTCCGTGTCGAGCTCCTCGCAACGCTGGGTGTATTGCCATTTAGCCGTTTTTTCGCTCTCCACTATTTGGAGCAGATGCAAGTGCTTCTGCTCCAGCTCTTCCTTTTGCATCAGCACTTTGTTGAAACTGAAACCAAAAGTAAACAAGTCGCAAGGTCAGAGGAGGCCTCAGAACGTTGCAGATGGGCATCTGAAATGAGATCAGGGTTGGCTGACTGGCTACACCCAAAGACTGAGGGAAATTCCGCTTGGACACAACACGGAGTCTCGCCGGCCATTGGATGAACGACACTAAGGCAAATTACACAAAAATCAAGAGTGTACTGCACCACGCTGCATGTTAAGTGTGCATTATAGAAACAGAAACAATGGACACTGCTAGATTTCCAAATACTCCAGTTGTCTGCCAGCAACTCAACTCCCACCCCACTCGTACTCCACCACGAGGTATTGCCGTGGCGACATCTGACTTAGCGCCTCACCCGAAAGGGCCGGCCCCGGAGGAACCCAATTGACGGAGAGCTTACCAAGCAGACAAACCCTAACCTCACGCCCGTTGTCCACACGAAACGGAAGGAGCTCCGAAGAGAAACAAATAAAAACGTTAACAATTCTTGTTAACTGCGAAACGGACCCACGGTTAAGGGAATGTGGTCGCCTTTGTGTATGTATCTTTTCGCGTTAAATTTTTGTTTATTAGGGACCTTAAGTTTAAGGAGGCAGACCTGTGAAATGAAGGGTTTGGGAAAATCGTCACTACATAAATAGCACGCGCTGATTTAAGACTGAATAAGGTCTAAAACGTTTAAAGGTCAACCACCAACGGCATCTGTTAAAAGTAACTAGCAATTTTTTTGTCAGTCGCAGACCCATCCGATATAGCATAATTCTGCATACCGAAAAGGACTGCGTCGTCCAGTTGGAGGCGAAGATGGGGCATGTTCCTGTGCGCACACAGGCGCCAACGTCAAACTTAGCGTTCGTCTAAGATTTCAATACACCATTAGTCGTAAATCGATGTGGCGTGTAGTTTTTAAATAGTGACGAGACTTTGTTTTGGCGTGGCCGGCGCGCGCGGGGAGTCGACTACTCAGGGCACTCAGGGTGTTCATTGTTGGGCTGTTGCTGTTACCCAGATGCGGCCGAAAATGCAACAGGTGGTGTTGAACCATGACGCCTCACCCGCGCCCCTCCCGCGCTGTCTGGTAGAAACGGGTCCGTTTAAAAAGTAGTCTAGGCGGGGCAGTGAGGCGCACCGGCTAGTGGAGCCCCTTCTAAACGCATCCGTGCAACACTGGCGAATCTGTTTAAGACGGACGAACAAGGGCGAATCTGTTTAGGACGGACGAACAAGGGCGAATCTGTTTAGGACGGACGAAGAAAGGCGAACGGCTTTTTCAGAATTTCTGCAGACCTATCTTTAGACGTCTTTCACTCTTCGATTTGACGTCAGATCACTTTGATCGAAGCATCATTGCACCCGTCATTGAGACTGAAATAGAATATGACCTCAACTGAAGCGATCCGACGTCACATCGAAGAGTATGAAGCGTTCAAAGATAGGTTTGCAGAAGTTCTGAAAAAGCACATTCGCCTTTGTTCGTCCGTCCTAAACAGATTCGCCCTTGTTCGTCCGTCTTTCACATTCGCCCTTGTGCGTCCGTCCTAAACAGATTCGCCAGTGTTGCACGGATGCGTCGTTCTGGCCGGTCCTTGTAGGGGGGACGTATTACTACTGACACTTTCCAAACCTTTTCTCCCGTGCGACTCTCACAGAAAAAGCAACGCCAAAAAACAAAACAAGATGTTGAAATCGAGAGCTAATATTCCTCTGAGAACATAATAAAGCGAGTATTGCAATTAAGTGTTTTCAACAATACGCATTTCAACAACACTCCATCCCATTTTCCTCAAACTCCTCCGCGGGGCGGGAGTAACAGCCTCACGAGGATAATCGAATTGTCTTCAGGCCCTCGGGCTGGCAGGCAACCCGAGTAGCGCCTCACCAGGACCACCGGGACGCGCGGGGTGCTGCTGCAGTCAGCAGCGGGGGCCAGGGTGTTTTGTGATGCAAAGAGCCGCGTGACGACCGCTCACGGCGCCCACCCAATACCCGATGGAGCTAATTGGGGTGCGATCGGGCGTTGATTAAAGTCAATTACGTTATCTAGCACCCCACCGCCAGAACATTGCAAAACCATAGCAAGCCGGCTTAAAAACGTACAAGTGCACAGCTCATGAGCTGCGAAGCGGAATAAGAGATAAGTGGTTGCCTTTTCCCTTTAAAAAACTGGCCGGCAGGCCGGTAACGAGACAGTCCAGCTCCAAAAATAAACTCAAAATACACTGAAAAAAACCCAATAAATTAGTGATAAGGACAGCTGTCAAAAGACAAAAATTATGATGGGAGGACCAAAATAAGTACCCTGGAAAGACTGGGAACGCCAGTGTAAGAGGACCAGGGGCAAGAAGGTGATTAAAAAGTTAGCAGCAGACTGTTGGATGTGCACTACCCCACGAGGCCGGAAGGGAGTTCGATGTGTTTAAACGAGCGTTGCCAATAACATCCTGCCCCAGCCTGTCTCCCTCAAGCGCACGGCACATCACATGGCGCCACGCGCACTTATAAAAAAGAATTACCTGAGCTGCTAAGAATTAGCTATATGTGGATAGCTAAATTTTGGAGCCATGTAGCTAAAACTTAGCGACACAGGTAATTTTTTTGCTCTAGAACAAAGTTCCTGGCTGTACCGCGATAACTTTTTAGTTGTATTGCTCCAAAAATTAGCTATCCATACGTATCCAATTTTTCGCTACACGGGTAAGTATTTTTCTGAACGGTGAAACTCATGGGGCGCAGCAATGGACTGCAGTCTTGAGGGTCAGACCGTCAGAGTTCGGGTTCGGATTTACCATTTAGAGAGTTGCAAAGGTTTTTGAATGTACACGTAATGGTCGTTTTACATCTGGTCGCGTGGGGCAGGGGGCTGCTGATGCCGAGTAATGGTTTACACAACACCACCTATACCTGTTTACCCTTTGCAATGTAGAGTGAATAACAGCCGCGTATCTCAGCACAACTACAAACACCATGCAGTAGTCCACTCCCCGCGTGCGCGCCGCCCACGTGAAAAATATTGTACGATTTGTAAACTAATGCTCCAAATTGCAAAACGATATCACGCTAAAATAGGCATCAAGAAATTAAGAATGCTTTTCATGCATTTAAAAATCCCAAAACACCGTTACGAGCCAAAACTTGTTCACATTTTATGTATGTCTTTTAAAATGGGGTAGCTTCATCAACAAGAATGTTTTTATTTTTCAACATTTAACATTATTGAAGTCGATCCACCTGGAACGTTTCTAGCTTTTGGAAGAAATGATGAAATACAATCATTTGATCAATAATCAATGACAATTAAAGAACAAAGGGCCTGGTGGAGCTTGGTGTTGCTGTAGAGTGACTACAGTCCCAGCTACCAAAGTCCATGCGATAGGGTGGGCGGGACCCGAGCAGGTCAATGAGCTGCGGTGGTAGCGGAGGAGGCAGTAGTTAATAACAGCTCCCCTAAACAAGGCTCTTTCCTAGTTTGTTATCACTTTATTTTTTGGGGCTTTAAATAAAAACCCATTGGAAATGTGCCGGCTTCCTACCTTGCTTCCCGGATAGCCTCGATCCACATCTTGCAGTCTGTCTCCGACGAGGCTCTTAGCTCATACTGTCGTATGTTGTCTCGTCGATAAGATATGGCAAAACAGTAGTGCTGTAACAGAAAAGAAAACAAACGCTAATGTTAAGCGGTTAGCATATTTTGACTGTTGTAAGGGAAGGAGGGGCACATTTGGAGGAAATTTGAGCCCGCCCTTCTGCTTTGTAAAAGCTTCAGAGTAAGCGGATGCAGCCATTTTGATTCTCGAGTGCGTCTATCTGTCCCTCTATTGTATATGTTAGAGGAAGGAGCTAGGGGTCTGCAAATTTTAGAGCATCTCAGGGCTCACTTCTGGTGGAAACTGAAACGCCTGGTTCAGGGGCCGGGAGTACTTGTTTAACCTCCACTCCCTAAAACCCCTCGCACGCCGCAAGATCCAATGGTTCGTTTCTGAAGTCTCCCCTTGCTCACCCTGGAGCCGCTCCGCAACGCCTTGCTTAGTACCCCGCTTAGTACCCCTGGCCGCATAGGCCCCGCACACCCTACGCCAATCATGGGTCAGCTCTGGCCCAGGCAGTAACCCGGAGGAAAAAAATCCAATAGTTCGTTCGTTCACTGCAGTCGTTCGTTCACGACACGTCTTATTAAGAAAATAGCTCATTTGCTGACTCCTTCACTTGCAGTGAGTACCTTTAAGAGTAATTCTGACGTCTCTTGCCTCGACTGTTCACTCTACCCGCCCAGTTAGCGCCGTGGTTCTCGAAGGGTAGCAAAGCCTCCCTTAGAAGAACGGGTCGGGTATTCATACGTTGTTTACCCCAGTCGGGTCCCGTTTACAGGCCTGTGGGAGTAGCGGGAGGTGTAGGGGGAAGAGGGAGGGCAGGCTGCCTTCTACCGAGCCCCTTTGTTCAGCTCTATCTGCTGAACCAAGTTGCCAACTACGTTTCCGACAACAGACGCAGGATTCACACAGACGCGCGCGCGCGCGCATGTGTGTGTATGTGTGTGTGTAGGTGTGTGTCCGCGCGCGTGTGCTCTGCTCTCCCTGCAAGGGACGCCGTGTCGGTGTCGAGCCTGTGTTTGTGACTGGGCCGGGCGGAGCAGCTCGTAGTTCGTGAAGATGAATCATTAAAGCGGTATGCTGAGCCGGGCGTTGGGTGGTGGAAGGTAGGGGCAAATGGCGTTATTCACCAGCCGAACTCGGGTGGTGGTGGTGGTGGTGGTGGTGAGAGGGAGCAGTGCATTTACATACCGAGCAGAAAGTGAAGCGAAGTGAAGAAGTCGCACGCTCAAGGCGAGGGCGAAAGGCGAAGTGATGTGAACGTGCGTCGCGCCCGCACCAGTGCGTCAGAGAGAGAGAGAGAGAGAGAGAGAGAGAGAGAGAGAGAGAGAGAGAGAGAGAGAGACGCGACGCAGAGGTGTGGTTGAATGTAAAGACTCCGACAGAAGCAGGGACGGCAAAGGCTTGGATAGCGAAGCGAGCGTCCTTCAGCTGGGTTGCAGTGGCCTCGCCGGTCCTGGCTGGCTGGCCTTGAGCCCAAGACCGAGAGGGGGAAGAGAGGACGGACAGAGGGGGTGGGATGAAGACGGCAGAGGCGGCTAAGGGAGAGGGAGCAGTAGCTCTTGGTGCCTAACCGCAGCAGCTTCAGCCAAATTGGTCGCCACGCCAGATTATGTCGCCAGAAATCCATTCTGAGTCGCGCAGTCGAGTCAACTTCTTGTCGAAACCGCCGAGCCGTGATTGATTTGCCTTTCAAACGGGACGATCGCTGCCGCCCCCAACTCCCTCTCGACCGCGGCGTCTCGCTCTCTCAACACCCTCCTCCACTTCTAGCTCTCGCTTCTTCGCCCACCCGTCCGCTCTTTCTCATCTCGCCGTGCAGAGACTGGGATTTGTAAAAAAAAAGGTATCGTTGTAGTGTTAATGAGAATTTTTGTTTCTATTTATTTCTAATATCATGAATCATGTCTGCTAAGTTTGAGATGCTGCCAGCTGCCCCCCAGCCTTCGCAATGCAAGCCGCGGCGGAGTGCTTCGTTCCCGAATGCTGATGACTTCATCGTCGCACACGCTATATTGCGCGCGCGGGGGG